GATCAAATTTTCCTCCCTGTAGGCTCCATGGGAAAGTGCTGCTCTAGCCATCCAGGAAAAGTGTAGTTCTCTCTTTTTTTTTTTTTCTTTCCTTCCTTAAATTCCCTGAAGATTGTCAGTGCAGACCCAGAAGTGCCAAACAAAATGCCAGCTATTGCTGTTTAGTGCTCACAGCTCTCACTGTCGCTCAGAAGAGTCACAGAGTTGCCATGAAGAGAAACTCCAAAGGAATCCCACTTCTCAAATCCTTTTCAACAAGCATGTCAGCAGCAAGGCTATAAAGCACTATAGAAAATACAGATCTGAAGATATGTGTTAACACAGGAGTTTCTGGTACAAAAAAAGAACTGAAAAAAAGCTTTTAGATACCACCTATTAAAAACAACAGTAACAAAACCTGTTAAAACCCTTTTCTAGAGGAAAATGGTATTTCAACACTCATTTAAAAAAACAGGTACACTGTGATGCCACCTCACTTACTTAGAAAAAATTATATATTTTAACAATCTGTCCAATTCTCACTTCCAAAAAGATAGATTTGGCTTTTCTAAATGCTCAAAACCCAAGTAAAAATGTGTCAATTCATTCTAATATCTCCCTCCACCTCCTCATTCCCAAATTCCATATTAAACCTTTGGATTTTAATTCTCCGTTCCAGTTCAGGATGTCTTTTTCCCCAAAAAGGCTCCAAGCTATTTCATGAGCACAACATCTGTTTTCTGACCCATGCAAACGATGACGCCTGTACACCACTCTCAGTTACTTCTAGAGAAACTGCTCACAGCTTGCAAATAGTACAACATTATTTCTGCAGCTGCCAGGTCTCTAAAATTGTCCTGAGATCTAAAACTTTACGATCCAGTTTGAGGATTTAAGGTCCAATATGATCACCAGATCGAACCTTCAGTTCACACCTGTATAACAGAGCTGCTTTCCATGTGGTGGTGAATGAAGATGGAGTTTGAAGCTAGCAATAAGCCCAAACTTCGGTGCCAGCAGCATCAAGGCCCTATAGTTGTGCTACTTCTGCAGAAGAGGGCAAAGAAGAACGGACAAAGCTTAAGTCTGTCACTTCCACAGTCAGCTCTGCTCTAACCCCTGTCCCTCGCAAAGACAGAAAGATGAAAAAAAAGGATCTACAAATACAAGTTCAGGAGAACTGCATCCTCACAACAACAATTAAATTTTTTTTCAGTTATTACCCTGAAGTGCTGTTCTATCTTATATATGTAATATTACACCAAAAAAAAAGCTATTAAAGGTACTCTAGTTAGTTTGCTTTGGAAAATGTTTACTTTTCTGTACACATTTGATTTCTATTCCATAGTCCAGAAAGATAAAATCCACTTGTGTGCAGGTAAAATGCTTTGAACACACAAAGCCCAAGGTAAGTGCCACGAATGCTGTTACCAGCGTGTGGCCGGAACATCTGTACAGGTATTACAGCTCTTAAGGGAAAGGAAAGCATGCAGCCGAGCGCTCCCTCCCACACAGCATGGAGCTGCTGGAGCACTGGCTTAGGTGGAAGAGACACAATTGTGTCCTTATTGCACTTAATGACTATAGGAGGCTGCTGTCAGTCAATACTATGACTCATGCTTCTTTAACAGAAAAGGAATGCCCCAGCCAGCAGCACGCTCAATCGCACCATGCACAACCACGAAGGGACTGGAAGGCTGAGCCAGCGCCCCGGTAACAACTCCATGAAACAACACGTAACTCACCGATTGTGAAAATGTTGGGAGGCAAAGTGCTTCAGAACCGTACAAGCCAAGTTTTCAGAGCAACAGCCACCAGAGTCAGTCCCACAAACTGCACCTCCGGCTGCACATCCATGTCACAGAGTCTGGGACAGCCCATCTGCGGGTCGCATTTACCATGTTTGCAAGAAACCCACCACACCACCTCCTCGTGCAAGGAACGAGCTTGTCCCACTGAACTTGCAATGAGCAATACTGGACTATCAGAGTTGAAGCAGCACTAGAAGTGGACCTGGAAACACGATATTTGTTTCAGGAACTTGGTATTTTACACTATTTATAGCTTTTAGCCACTACGTATTTTAACCAGTCATGGAATAGACATTCCGTGCTCAAATAATTTTCAAGGTCAGATTAATCCTGTTACATGTTCTCTCATTGTAAAGTGGCACGAAGTCACACCTGACTTGCAAGATAAACCTAAATACAGATCCCTTTGCATGCCATGCAGTTCTATCTAGAATTAATATCAGTTACAGAGAAAGAAAAGAAGTCCTTCACAAAGGCAGAGGAATGTCATTAAGACAAAAGCTTTCTAACAAAGTCAGTCCCACTGCCCTCCTGGCATTTTTGCAGAATCACGTGGCGGCAAATTCGTGCATTCAAGGAACTTTACCAAAATCTGGCCCCCAGACAGCCTGCGTGACTCAGCTGTTCACTGGGCAGCTCTGGGCAGTTGCTGTGTGTCCGGCTTAACCAGCAATCCAAGTCAGGCAAGAACATTCAAATCTTCAAAGCTTGGCTACTTAAATTGTACCCACAAGGTCTGCATATACACCACCAGCCTGCAGCAACCCTGTAACTTCCAAATCTCGTAACCCCCCTGTTCTTTCAGAGTCCCATGGTAGGACCCTGAAGGCCCTGCTTTTCGGCAAATGCCGTTTTGTCCTTGCAGACCAAAGCATGGTTGCAGAGTTACAGATTTGCACTTCTGTCAGAACAGCAGGTGCAAAATACAGCTGCACAATTTTGACAGCAGCAACTACAGCTGTGGAAAACCATAACAAGCAGGCAGCCATAACACCAGGCTTTAGCAAGACCTGTCCCTTGTGGTGGTGTTTTTCTTTCTGTCTTTTTTTTTTTCCTTCTAATTTCCTAAGGAAAGGAACTGAAGAAGGGGCAGAAACAGGACAGAAAGGAACAGCAAATGAGAAAGACCATCATCTCCCCAAAAGCCTCCACGAATTGATGTAAGAGAAGCAATGTCTTCTTTGGCTTCCTTATGAACTTTTGGGGGTTTATGAGTTTGGATTTCACAGTAGGAGACACGTTCACCTTAAGATGCGGGTTCCTGGTTGCCACTGCTGCAAATGATGGTTTGGTTTGGGTTGATTTTGTTGGGTTTTTTTTTAGTTTTTCAGGAAACGATTTAGTGTCGTTTCCGAATGTTAAGTAATTGGTATGGTATTGGCGTCTGGTAAGGATGCCCACTAATTATAAACATGTCTTTTATTTACCTGGTTGCTAGATGCCTTATGGTACATTTGTTTTACTACAGGCACTTTTGAGAAGATGGGATCTGGAGGCAAGAGGCCATTTAAGCGTGGAAGGGAAATCCTTCTCTGAAGGACCCAATGCACTCTACTGGGCTGGCCTCAAGCTGTACTGGTTAACAGCTCTGAAGCTGTGATGGCCATTTCTGCTGTGCACCACATGTATCTAGATTCCAAACCCGTGCAAATGGAGAGGCAAAAAAATCCTACCACACTCGAGTGCAGACCCAGGCAGAGTCCAAAACCTCAGCTCCAAATAGGAGAACAAACAGGTTCTAGTGCAAGAGCTCACCTTGACGCAGCCCTGCCATCCATCCAGGCTGGGCAATGCTCCAGCCTAGAAGGTGGAAATGGGGGTCTGAGCACAGTCCAAGACTGGGAGATGCTGATAGGAGCCAGCTAGGAGGGTGAGAACATCTGACACAGACCCAAGGGACACAGTAAGCGTGACGACTGGCTGTGTGGGAGCTGCAAGCCTGCTCTTGAAGTGTGCCCCCACGCCATGCACTGAATTTTTCCACAAGTCCGAGGCAAGAGTAGCAGGCAGAACCCTAGGGAGTTTATCTCCTCAACACTCTCCCACCCAACACTACCATCGAGGTGCCTTGCACTAAAGGGAATTTCATCCTGACCGGTTATTTTCTCTCTTTCTCAAAGGCACTTGCAGACCGATAAACTTGCTCAGAGAAGAGAGCGGAGAGGGATTAACTGCAGCCTTCTAACCTCAGGCTTTCAAACCTGCTCACGTGGCTCCCAAGGAGCTGAACTACAGTTGTTCTCTCCCTTGCTCAGACCTTGTGCAAAGTCATTCTGCCATAGGCAATGGGGGGGGACAGCGGGAGAGCAACTTCAACCCTGCAAAAACGGGCCATCCTAATGAAGATACTGACAGAACCGGACACCATCGCCGAGTGCTGCAAAGAGAATCTACATAACATTACTCTAACAGTTCAGTAAAAATGGCATCAGTAAAAGCAGGCTTTCAAGAAAGAAGTTACCCCCAACTCAGGGAGTGCAGCTGAGAGAGTTTCAGTTCATTTTGTTACATAAATCGCCATTATTATTTATTACTTATGATGTTAAAAGAGCAGGAGGATACTTGAAATAAAAGGCTGTGCATGCACAATACCCACATGAATAAATTCCAGTGATCCACCCCAGCACCGGCCACGGTGCCCTTCCCTGGTTATTGAGCTGAGCCCTCCCTTTAGGAGGAGTAGGGAAATTTATCATGAAATATACAGCATATTGTAATGCAATGATACTGGAAAACAATACTAACTGGAGTCTGAACGTGTCCTCCACATCTTGTTAAGCTACTGTTTAACTCGGCAGAAAAGACAGTGAGGAAATAAAAGATCAATTCGCCCAGCCTGAGATCAAAACTGTCATGGCAATATTGGCAGGTTAGACCCTGATTCTTTAAATAGTACATTGCCTTTGTTAAACAAAAGTCATTCTTTTATTACATAATAGAGATTATAAATAAATGTAAAGTGTGCATGCAGTCAACTGCATATTATACAAGCAATATCTATGTTAATAATTGTTTTCTTTGGCAGGCCAGAATCCAGCTGGACATGCAATATTTACATATCAAAATCCTTGGTGTGTTCAAGTCATATTGGATGCAAGTGAAAATATATATGTATATATATTTACCGTATACACACACACATATATATGTATAAAGGTATATATACACCTCTGCATATATACTGTATACATATATACACATAGGTATATGCTAAAAGTGGATTTCATCTTTTTCTGATTCAGGTGATGCAGGCCTTGAAACACTAAAAATATCCTGACAGGGTATCTGCTGGGGCCGCTGGGGTGATAAATGAGACGTGGGGGAAGAGATCTGGGGTACGTTCTTTTCAGACAATATTTTTAAAATTTCTGCCACCTGTTTCTCAAGGGCAGTCATCCTACTGCTTAGCAGCTGGATATCTTCTTTGAGTTCATGCTTGACTTCCTGCAGTGTGGTTTGTAAGGCCTGCTCAGGAATAGGGTAGAAAGGATGCCTAGCGTCAGCCTGAATGGGGCTGTGCTCCAGCGGGCTGCGAGCCTCACCAGCTTTATCCAAGCGAAGGTCACTTTTTGTTATTCCGCTGTCACAGGAGTCTGTTTTCCTCAGTGGGTTCTTATTTACACCATTCTCTGAGTCATTGCACTTGGGGTCATCGGACAGCAACCCCATGGACTCAGCCTTCGTGACGTTGTTCCAGTCCTCCTTCTTCTCCTCGTGGGTCCCCATCGTGTTCTTCAGTCGAAGCCACCCCTTCCCATTCCCATTTTTCATCCGCATGGGACTGTTTACTTTCAGGCATTTTTGGTCTCCATTTCCATTTGGCTTGAGCTCCATCGCATCCCTGTTGTTCTGCTTCATGGCCTCGCTGGTTTTCATGTAAGCCAGGGACGTCTGGATAGGGGTGATCTGAGACACGGTGACCACACTGGTCCCTGTGATGGAAGCCCCATTCTGCACGCTCCGGCTTTCCACCTGAAGCTGGTTCCTTTCTGGGTCAATGTGGGTTGAGCCTTGATTACGCATCTCCTTTTGCTGTTTGAATTTCTGGAAAAGTTTCCGCACGGGATGGTCCACAGGGATGCTCAACGTCACCTCATTCTTTTGGCGTAGGCGCTCTTCTTCTTCCTTCTTGACATCACTGATCTTCCGAAAGATGATCTGCGGGGAATAAACCCACAACAGAGTCAGTACCGAAAAGACATCACATACAGCAAACACTACCAGGAGATAGGGAAACAGTATGGAGAGAACAGCCATTTCTTTTCCTTTTTATCTTAATTTCTTGTAGTGAATTCAAATGGACCTGATCAAGACATAGTAACCTCAGATAAATACCACTGCATAGATATGGTACATATATATTCACGTACACTTTAAGAGTAGAGCTTAAAAGTGGGTTTCACCTTTACCTTTCATGCAGAAGACAGAGCCTCGAAGAACTAAAAATATCCCAAAAGAAACTGAAGAAAAAGAAGAAAGAAAGCGAGCAGAGCCCAAATACTGTGATACCTACCTACCCACTACTCACATTCTTACCTGCTTGGTCACTATCTTTAGTACAGATCGAAAAGAAACAGTAATTCAGTGGAGACTACACAGTTGTAAGTTTAATTCAACGTACATACCCTTCCAGAGACTGGAAAATCCAAATGTGCTCAATACTTTTTAGCTTTGCTTTTTGATAGTTTTGCAGGAGTGGCTGGAGGGTGCAATTATGTTTCCCAAGAGCCGTGTTGTGTGGCTTCACACAGCAACACAAGCATTTCCTGGAGAGTTTATACGTCTAACATGTGTGGGTGTACTGGGAGCACCATGGAGAAGCACCGTAACAGGCAGGAGTGATTACAAAACCCAGCAATATCCACCATTTCGTGATGCCATGCCATTTAATGCTGCAGTTATTTCACCCTGCAGCATCTTTCAGGACTCTCTAGAAAAAGCAATGTGAGCCTCAAGCTGTGGAAGGATCCACAGCATAAAAACCTTTTTGCTGATTTTATGTTACTCATATGATTATTCTTTCTTTTAAAGGTTCATCCATTTTTCTTGAATGTGCAACTGAGGCAGGATAGGGAAATTCTGGTTCTTGGGATGATGATACTAAAGTGAAAAGCAGCTCATAAAGAAATGCAAACGCAGACTGTGTAGGATAATGTTGATAGGAGAAGAAAGATCCTGCAATACACAAACAAAACTCTGACAGTCAGATGCAAGTCTTAAAGTATCCATTTGAGTATCCATATTTCATTATCTGTTTATTTTTTATAAAATGGCTTCTCAGGCCTGTCCATATTTTGCAAAGAAATAGTTGCTTTCAAGTCTCTCATCTTCGGAAGGTGGCAGAGAAGTGCTGCCATGGCTACAGCTCCTTCCCTGCGTGAATCTGCAATGAGCTGGACTTCAAAGCTTCATTAGAGAGCCTTCAAACACGGTAAATATATCCTTGTGCACTGCTGATAGATGCAGCTGCTTATAATAATTTGGAAAGTTAACATGTTTATTAGAGGCCCAGTTTTAAAAAAAAAACACACCACAACAAGAGAGAAACATAGAAGATACTTTCATCTGACTCCTGACCTAGATGCAGCAACACACACACTCATTTGGAAGCTCCCCTTCATTAGTGCCTGCCCTCATGGAGCCACTGGGGACAGCAAATAAATGCAAAAGAAGTTGCCCTTGATTCAAAATTAAGTAATTGCATTTAATTGAAGCCACGTTCTCTAAATGAAGATTTGAAAGGCCAGGCAGGTTGTTTTGTTTGTGCATTTGTCTCCCTGGCCAGCACCTTTGGCAGATGACATGATCCTGAAAGCAGCCAGCTGTGAGGAAGAGTCCCCAAGCCCTGTCTCGGAGAAGCTGGATGGTTCCTCTGCGGATGGTTCCTGTCTGGCTGCACTGCCCTGCCCTGTGCCATGCCAGCCCAGAGTGGCCTGAAAACATCTGGGATGGGGAAAACATTCTTTACCCACGGCTTTCCTGCTCTCTGGCCACAGCTCTATTCCTTGAGCACCCTCCCCTCCCTCGGCCAGCTTGTGCCTGGCCGATGGTGGCCAGGGTCGCTGGGGATGCTGCGAGGCCATGGCCAGAGGCCGGCGGGGATGCTGCAAGGCCGGCAGGGATGCTGCGAGGCAGGCAGTTGCCTGCAGCCTGGCAGAGGCTTGCAGCCATCCCGTGTCCAGGGCAGCACCGAGTGTGCAGTCTGGAGAGGCACAAGGCAACTTTGACAACTTCTGCCCTGCCAGTTTATAAAAACCAGAATGACAATGACAAAGATAAAAAGCAGACTGACAATGACAAAGATTCCTCTCCAAACACTTGCCCTTCACTGAAAACTACTCTCACCTCCCTTTTGCTCCCCAGTCTGCTCTTGTTCTTTCATTTCTCACTTTTCTCCTCTCACTTCAAAACTTCTCCAGCCAGAGGTTATTTCCCTGCACAGAATATAATTACCTGTGACTGCTGCTGCTGCTGCTTTCTGCAGAACAAAAGCCAAGACTTTCCTAATTTGACACCGCCTGTACCTCACGCTCCTGAAGTGGAGCCTTCTGAAAGCCAGGAAATCACTATGGGTTCTTTGGCCTCAGAACCACTTGACTAAACATCACTTGGATGACCAAGGACCCAGTAACCACTCCCAGTGAGCCTTCTCCCCACTTTACACCCATGTACTTTGGGAGAAGACACATTCCCAAAGTCCTGCTGTCACCTCTCCAGGAAGAGATACTCCTTCAGTCTCTTGTAGGATGCAGGAGCCTGGCAGAGCTCTTCAATAAACCCTTTCCTCCTTCTGTGCTTGTGACAGAAAGTGTTAACACCCTGGAATGATTAAGGGCAGCTCCTTTGAAGAAGCAAGTCTGCTGCCCTCTGAATTAGCACAGAAAACACCCAGGGACTCAGAAATCCAGGGATTAGCTAGGAGTCAAGAATTCAGAACTGATCTACCTTGGTGGAGCTTTATTGCTAAGGGAGCAAAGGTGGTCTGATACACAGCCCTGGGCCTCCACTCCCCACAGCTTTCTCATGTAACTTGTATGTGCTCATAGCTGTTTGTTATTTTCTTTTTCACTCTGAAATGCAGAATCAAGCAGACCCTCATATCCCAGCTGACAGCGTGAGATTACAAAACTTTGGAGACCAGGATCCTGGTCCTCATTCACCCACTGAACTACTCTGTCACCAGGAGAAAATCATTTCACTCCCGTGTTGCCACAGGGAGACTGTTCCCTCCTCAGGATGTCCATCCTCAACCACCGAGGGAGCACTATGCTTAGTGCAGCAAGGACCAAAACAGTCTTGGTCAGGACTACTTGATATCATTAGAACATGTACAAGTAAAAAAAAAAAAAAAGTGAAAGATGTGAATTCTAGCAGTAATAGTTGTTTTTCATTACCAAATTTTTCCATATAAGGAATTTTTTCATGTGGTTGGATTTAATGCACTTCTACAGCGGTTTAACCTAGGACAGAATAGGATTAAATCTGTTTACATGGAAACTTAATTTTATTAATGTCTAATAACCATCACTGGCTATTTTTCTCTATAAATAAGAACAGAAAACCATCTCATGCAATCTGACATTCCTCAGCAAATTGGGAGAAGCTTATTTTGAAATCTTAAATTGGATGAGCTATTTCAGTTATCCCTGACCCTTTTCAGAGTGGTTTGGCCTGTCCAAACCCAGGAATAGACACAAACCCCAAAGGAGTTAATCAGAAGAAACTGAATTAACTGTGTGTATAGCACATCTCAAGGAGCAAAAAGCCATGTCCTGTCTCACAGAAAGTCCTAAATTCATTAACGTGATGGAGATTCAGTGTAGGGCTTCATTTCCTTCATGGATGAGATTGTGAAAAACTGCGCCATGTGACACAAATCCTGTTTTATGAGACCAAGTCCCTGTTTTGCTTGCTTTTAGTGTGTTTATTTTGGGAAGGAGAGGGAAGGAGGTGATGTTAATTACTGAGTTGGCAAAGGTTAAGTAGAAGTTAACTGATGGTCAGCCTTGCGAACTGAAGTATTTGGGTTATGTACAAGGCAGGCACAGAGGAGATGACAGCAACTTGAGATTTAATCCTAACCCCAACCTCCTTTCCCTCACCTCTGTACCAAGAGGTAACTTGCCACGACTGTACACTCAGCCCATCACAACTTCCAAAGACAGACCTTAATAAACGTACCAGCAATGGGTACATTATTGCTGGAGCAGCTCCTGTGAGGTCCAGGTTTGCATAACTGAATCCAAAGCCAAGAGTAGATGAGGGCAGCAGCAGCGAGAGGTCAGGGAGCCAGCTCAAGGCTGAGACACACACAAGTACTCCCATCTACTGCTGAATTAATTAACAAAGCTGTGGCCTTTCCAGATGCTTTGAAATGCATCCCTTGCCTGCTGTCTTTTTTGGTACCAGTGCTGTGAAAATCACCCCTCTGTGACCTTGCTCCCTTTCTAAGTGACTCCAAGGAAGGTATATGAATGGATTAAAGAACTGATAAAAGTCTTGAAGAATTACAGAGTTCATAAAAGTGGCAATTATTAGAACAGAGATCATCCTGCACCGTTCCTAGAACATCCCATGCTGTTGTTAGTGGCGTTCAATATGCACCTGCCCCTCACCACAGAAATTCACAGAAACGTATAACAGTATAGCAAAAGGGCACACAGTCGTCATGGGCATGAATACAGAGGATGTGCTCCAAGTGAGAGAGAGGGAAAGCTAAACAAGGCCACCAGCATAAAGATTTTCACAGTGAGTAATAAACTCTGCCTGCATATGCTGTGGCATCCTACAGATGTGGCTGATGGGCAAGGGATGCTGGAGCCCTGCAGCAAGAAGAGACCCTGTGCTGGGAGAACTGGCTTGACTCGGCTCATTGGGCATTTCTGCAGTGCCAAAAATTGGAACAGGAGGCAAACACAACATTTCGGTCCCCACAGCTATATAGATCTATGCAGAGGAAAAGGAGGAGCCCTGCCATGAGGTTGGATTTGGGCCGTAATCCATGACAGCCCACACTGATGTGGGTGGTGGTCATCTCTCAAAAAATTGTTCCAGAGGTAGCTATATAGTCTGTATTCATGTCTTGTAGAAGTCCCATCTCCCTTGCATCTGGTTACTCACAATCCAATGTATTTGTCCAGATCCCTGTATTTTTGTTC